AAAAAAAAAAAGAAATGATAACTATAATGAAAGAAGTACTAAATGCTTCTAAAGAAGACACTGATAAAAAATAGAACAGAATACAAAAATGATGAAGTCCCTGAATGAGCAATAGAGGAAAGAAATAGAATGCATGAAGCAGATTCAAAGTGATATGCAGGAAATTAAAATCTCAATCACAAACTGGCAAAGCCATTTGAATGAAAGTGAAAATAGACTTTCAGATCTTGAAGACACCATTGCAGCTAGTGAAAAGGTAAGAAAAGATCTCTTAAAGAGAACTAGGATGCAGGAAAAAATAATTCAACATCTGCAAGATGATGCAAAGATGAACAATGTAAGTCTAATGAGCATCAGTGAGATAGAAGGAGTCAATAGAAATGATATAAAAAGAATATGGGCAGAAATAATAGCAGAAACCTTCCCAAACATTGGGAAACAATCTGACATTCAGGTAACCAAAGCATATAGAACTCCAAGTAACATCAACCAATTAAATCCACACCCAGACATATAATAATCAAGATCTCAGAAATTTAGTATAGGAACTGTATACTAGAGAAAAGAAACATCACATTTAAAGGAAAACCCATCAGAATAATGGCAGATTTCTCTCCACAAACCATCAAATCAAGAAAAGCATAGAGCAAAGCACTTCAAATCTTGCAAGAAAACAAATTCCAATCCAGACTGATATATCCTGAAAAATTCTATTTCAAGTTTAATGGGGAAGTGAAATACTTCCATGACAAAGAACAACTAAAGAATTTCATGACAACAAAGCCAGCCCTACACAGACTGCTAAAAGACATTCTAGAGGGATCAAAATGACCACAACTCCATGAATGAGAACAGAAATAACCCACCAAATAGAGCAAACCATTAAACACAGGAGAAAAAGAAGTATACAACAGCAGTCTTTCAATTATTTTTTTTGTTTCAATTATTATTTTATATACAGCAGCAAGATATTTCTATCAGCATACTCTACAAATGGACTTCTCCTGCACCCTATGGGTCATGATTCTATCTGGGTCTACAGGGTGGATATCAAGGAACTAGCAGTAGCTCAGTCCCACAATTGACACCTGGCCACCAGTAAGTGTCATGAACAGTATGCACGTACACCACATACTAGAACTTCGTGCAGTATGCTATCAAACTGTTAGAAGTGCTGGTCATATATTTGCTATTCCAGTATTTTTGTTATGTTTTATTCTTAGAAAGTTTTTACTACCATAAAAACTTTTTCTTAGTTGGTATTTTTGTCTATATAAACCTAATCAAATACTGTGTGAGTCCTCTGAATTGATCACAGATTCATACATATGATACACTACATTTTGGCCTCTTAGTAGGAACCACAATTTAATTTTAACGCTTGAATTCTATTTTGAAATATTTAATTTAATTTTGAATTAATTAACATTTAATTAATTTTCTGAATATTGTTTAATTTTAATTTTTGTCTTATGACTTATGCTATTTCTTGAACTTATAGTCTACTTTAAGACATGGTATGATATTTTCTCCTAGTATTAGAAACTTTAAAATGTGTATTGACTTTATATTAGCTTTTCTTTGTCTTTTACACATATGCACACATACACTCATGGAAAAAATATGTATATAACTTGACATAAGATTGATACTGTGTCAATCTTGCATAGCTACCATTTTAAAAGCTCTTTATTCTTTATCCAGGACCATACAGCAACTTTTTTGCCTTCTGGATTGTCTTTCTTATTTTCAATATGCTATGTCTGGAGGTATTAGAATATTTCAAGCTGTACAACTGGAAAATATTTTACTTTTAGTTTTCAAAGTTATGTTTGCTAAGCATACAATTCAATGAGGACAGATCTTTTTTTTATCAGTCCTTTGAATAAATAAGTCTAGTTTCTTACTCACTTGCTTTTTTTTTTGGTAATGGAATAAGATACTATTTAATTTTGTTCTTCCATAGCTAATATGTTTTTATGTATATGCTTTAATGATTTTTTTCTTTCCAATTAGTTGTGGACAATTTCATTTTTGTGTATCTTGGTATGATTTTATTCATATTTCTTGTGCAAAAGGTTCACATGTTTTGGAAATGTGGTGCTATAATTTTGACTAAATTTAGAAATTTTAAATCTTCAAATATTTATTGCCTACCCCATTTTACTTTGAGAATTCTAATTATATGAATATAAGTTTTGGCACAGAGCAAACTATTACATGACTGATATGTAAACTCTTCTTCATGTTTATTTTAGACAATTTTTATTGTTACATTCATTTAAGTTTGTTAATAATTATTTACAATGTACAATCTATTAATCTCATGTTATGTATTCATTTCAGAAATATTTTTCTAAAGTTCACTCTGTCTACATCTTATACCTTTCACATTTCAAGATTTGTCTATAATTTTTAATTTGCTATATAATTATTATTGATTTTCAATAATGTTAATTATGAGTTTAAAAAAAAACAAAGAGGAAGTACATGAAATCTGGTGAGCAGTGAAACAATCAAATTTAATCAAGCAAATTGGTATAATAATAGGGCATAGATCAACAGAAAAGACAGAACACACTCTAATACTAAACCATGACGCAGCTAAGAGGGGCAGTGGGCCAAATTCCACATTTTCCCCAAAGTAAGCAGAAACTTTGTCTTTTGGCTTTAAAATAGTGTCTAGTGAACAATACTCTCAATAATTAGCCTTTTCAGATTAAGAATTGAAGAAGCTTTCATTGCATTAGTGACGTTTTGAAAAGGGACAGGGAGTTTGGTTATTTTGTTTTTTCTTCCTCTTTGCCAGAACCTGACTTGCTGTTTACTTTCTTCAGCCTCAAGAGCTCCTAAGGTGCTTCCTGTCTTGCAGTTTTAAGTGCAGAAAGCTTTGGGATGAAGCCTCTGGCCCCATCACATTGAGACAATCACATACCTTCATTTTGTGTCTGGTTTTGCCTTTAATGTCATCAAGTCACTCTATCCACACTGCTCTTAAGTGAGATCTTTTAGTCTGACTTATGTCTCCTTTATTCCTTTCATTTACTTTTTTTTCTGACAGACTGTACATTCTGAAAGCCCAAAAACAGAGGATGGATGAGTTTTATGTCTGTAAATTTCTTTCTCAGTGTTGTGAGCTTTGCAGTCAACAAACATGA